AACGAAATGTAATTTTATATCCTTTCAATGGTATCTAAGTAATCTTTTATACAAACACATACTTCCATTGATTTTGCATTGACTCGAGACCTCCATTTGGTTACCTAGCCACTAACAGAAAAATGGATTCAGAAGCTACCGTGGAAGATAGCTTCATAAGTATTTTTAGTATGTGTTATCAAGTGATATTGAAACTATTTTGTTTTGTATCTTTAAAAGTATGATAATGTCATGTAAACTTCTTCGTAAATTCATACGGGGATGCAGACAACCAAACAAGTTAAATGTAATGGTCTGTTTCATTATTAGTCTAGTTTCGATAAGGAACTAATACGATGTAACGGCTAGGTAGAAATTAGCATTTCTATGGAGGTGGTGGTGGTACAAACATCATATGTCAAAGAAACTCTATAATTATAGTTTGCAAACCTATAATTACTTCTGATTTTGCTTAGTCCAAATGGTAATTGCATCTTGTTTACAAGTAGTGTGACTTATTTGAAGATATCTTAGTTGAAACTTGGTTTTGATGATTTTTGTAAATCAGGATTTGTTGGTCCCAAACAAATAACTCAAACAAGCAAATATGATATCAATGAAATTGCTGACACCATCTTTTTCATATGGAATGTATTTAATTCCAATAAATGCTTTCCAATCGTTAAACAATAGCTTACATTCATTGAAATGGAATGTATTTAATTCAAATAAAATTTTTCCATATTTTCAATCTTAAATTTCCGGTTATGAAGATTTTAATACAGTTAATTTTAAAAGCATATTACTAACAAACCATTTCAATCAAAACATTAATATCAACAATTAATATAAATCCGTTTATATTAGTAAACCATTAATATAAAATCTATTTTTATTAGGAAACCATTAATACTGAAAAATCATATTCAAATTATCACATACATATACGATTTATCCTTGAATCCACGGCTCACACTTATTTTCAATCGTTTCTTTTCTTCAAACCTCATCGTACAACATCATTATTATTGCTTATAACTTCCACCACCATTCTCTGCTTCAAACATTCGCTCTTATGCACTAAAAGGTCAGTACCTTCTTTCATTTTTTACATTTTTTTGATTATTTTTTTGTTCCTGTATCAAATGTATGTATTCATGTATTTCGATTTTATTTATCACAAATTACATGAAATCAGTTAACTACTTTTCTGAAACTTTTCAAATAAACAGAAAAAGATATTACGTACTTTTAACAAAACATAAATTAACTATCTTAGGAAATGACATTAATTAAGAAAATGTTACTTTTATATATTAGAGATGATTATAATTTTTTTAAAAATTTTTATGTCATAAAATCCGGTTAATTTTGACATGATTTTAAAATATCATTGAAATTATTATGTTTTTTGTATATCATATCAACCTACCTTTTTATCTTTATATAGTAACAATAAAATTTATAAATTTACACAACAAATATACATATTTTGAATTTGTAATATTATTATATCTTACAAAATAAAACTCCCGCTAAAATAATTTTTGTCAGTAATTTCATCAATAATTTCACCAAATTTAAATTTGTATTTTCTTTATATAAATTTTTTTAATGATCCTGATTTTTTTCTATAGAAGTATATCAAGCATATACATCTTAGATAATGCTACCCCATTATAATTATTACTTTCCAAAAATATATCCATTTAATGAGGAATTTGATATAATAAAGGAAGTAAATGTTAATTAAAATGAGATATATATTCCATAATTATTACATGGGTTTATTAAAAAAAAATTAATATCAAGGTGTAAACATTAAAGATTTTTAAAGTGAAGTTTCAGAATACATACAAACAGTGATGTTGTGAAATGAAATATAAAAATTAAATAGACTGAAAAAAAAAAAAAAAAAAAAAAAAAAAAAAACTATTAAGGCAGTCAATCTTGAAAATAACATAGTTATGAAAAATTATAAAGTAAGACAAAAATTATAAGATATTAGGTGATTTGTAAAAAGTACAATTAGTAAAAGCGTTACGATTATTAGAAAAAATAAGATTGTTAAGATTAGTAAAAATATAATATATAAACTAAATTATCACAATAGTAATGAAATGTCATTATTTGATATTTCATATAATTGAAAGATATACCAAATTACATTGATGTTATACTAAAATTATTCAAAGTTGCGCCAAAACTAATGCAAAGTTCTTGCAAACACCAAATAAATAAGAACAAACATAAAAACTAGCACTTATATTCATAATCAATTTAAAATAAACCAATCATGATTTAGAAAAATAATCTTCATTAATGATATACTAAAATTAAATCCATAAAACATTTAACATTCTATAAATTATATTATATAACTTTATTTGAATAAATGAAATAGTTGTCAATATTTAATGCAGTAGAAAAAACTGTATATTGGTTGTCAATATATGTTTAAATTAGGTAACTTTATTATGGAATGAACGTCTAACTAAAATGCTTATAATTATATAACAATATCATAACTATATGAGACAAGGAATGTCGTTCAACTAATAAAACAAAAAATGTTGTCTACAAAGAGGTCATTCAATGATTATAGATATTTATCGTTTGCAATGTATTTTCTACACATTTCAATAATACCAATAATCATATATTTTTTTATAATCATTATGCAATATCTGTAAACGATTATATATTGTTTTTATACGTTTCCTGCGTTTAACGCGGGATATAATCTAGTATATATATATATATATATATATATATATATATATATATATATATATATATATATATATAATATATATATATATATATATATATATATATATATATATATATATATATATATATATATAACAAAAGGCCTAGAACTCTAGCTTAACATGCACGTTAGACAAAATTGGAAACTCAATAAGTGAGTTATATGGAAACTCTATCTTTAAAAAATCCTTATTAAAATTGGAAACTCAATCTCTTACATAAAGTGAGTCCTCTGTTATATGGAAAATCTATCTTTAAAAATTCCTTATCAAAATAAGGATATATCGATCAGCATTAAAATTCTTTTTACTTCGAAGATTTCTATAATCAACTAAAGGAAAAATATATATAATATATATATATATATATATATATATATATATATATATATATATATATATATATATATATATATATATATATATATATATATATATATATATATATATATATATGAACACATACTGATAACTATCAGTAACTGGGAATGGAAACTTTTGACTCATTAAATATATAACGTCTCAACAATTCCCCTTATTTAATTATGTCAACACTAAACATACTAAATAAAGAACCCTTTATTGAATAATAACATAACTTTTTAAAAACAAACATACAACTTCAGGAAGATATATGATCAACAATGTTATAACTCATCATATCCGTCTTGTTGGTTCATTTAATGATTTGTCCACAACAAGTGATAGTTTATTTTATTTCCTTTTTAAAGTTATCTTAGATCTTTAAGCGTTTTTTATATGTATTGCATTATATATTCTTTATTTTCTTTATCGTGGATCGTGTCGGGTACTTTCTATTTTCTATGAGATATTTTGCAGGGTTTTGGAGTTCGTTGCGGTTGTGGATTAGCTTGGAGACGGGCTTTGTGGGCTTTAGAGGCGTTATTGGGCTTTACGGTTCCATCAAAGGAGATTTTGGCTTAAAGAGTTGAAGACTTTGATGAAGTCAACTTATGAAGATGGGTCTTGGATTCTTATTTTAGGCTTGGAGTATCCGCATTTGAAACTTGAAGATGATTAGCCAAATTTGAATCATGTGAGGTGTGGAGGGGACCAAGGGAATCTTGATTAGTGGGGTGGTGTTGTGGAGAAAAAGAGCCAATAGCATTCCATCATTTGCGAGGGTGGAGTCTCAATCACTGAAATCTGCGAGGGTACCCGCACAACTGCACATTTTGGGGCACTTTGGTCATTTTGCTCACCATTTTACCTTGGGGGTAAGGTTTGGCAGCCATACTTTGATTTTCCACCCTTAGATCACTATGGAGGCGAATTTGGAGAGCTTGTAGACATTCTTCTCATCTTTCTAAGTAATTGTTAGTTTCTTGACGTAAAAACACTTTTGTGATTGTTATCTTTTTGCCATGAGTGGCTAGTTTATTTATTTTCGTTAACTTTGGCTAAAACCTTTGGATATTTGTGGGCTTCGAAGGATTCATGATTGATTTTCATTTATCTTATGTTTATGATTCTAGTTCATATCTCTTATGCTTGTTTAATACTTTGATCATGAGCTTGGTACTTGAAGGAGAAATTATTGGTTTATTTCTTTGGTTTAGCATTGAATCATTTAATTTATTTGGAACAAGAGCTTTATGATGGTAGAAATCATCTCTATCTTATGGATCATAACTCCTTTATGGATGTGTAAGCACTGATATCCTCTAGGAAATGAGGATTCCTTCATTCTTTAGGCTAATGAACTTTCTTGGGTTCAATTGGTTCAATTGAATCCTTGATTTGGATTTAGAAGGTGTGTTGTAGCATTCCCCAACCTCCATACTACCTATGAGGAATCTTGGCATATCATGTTTCATGATTTTTATAACCAATTTGGGATGAATGATAAGCTTCATATTGAATCCTAATGATAAACATACAAATGTTCATTGTGTTGAATTACATTGGTTGACTAATTATCTCCAATATTTGAGCATCTCACCATCTTTATTAATTGCAAGCTTTTTAGTTATTCAAGTATTTTCATTTTCAAACAATCACTATATCCTCCCTTTTAGTTTAATTGTAGTTAGTTAGCTTTATTACACTAGTTCTAATGGATTGCATTGGTTATTGAATACAACCACTTACCCGAGTATCAATACCCATTTTTACTATTATATTATGTTTTATTTTCAAACAAATGGTGTAATTTTCTTGGTGGATTTGAAATGCTACGAACTAGAAATAAGACTTTTAGCGACGACATACACTTGTGACGCCATACAAATGCGCTTTTTGTCGCCACTAAAAGTGTTTGTCGTTGCTAAGAGTGACATCGCTAAAACTCAGCCACATGCGATCCTAGAGTCCCACACAAAGTTGCATTGTCACCATGGAGGTTTTGGTGATCACCAGATTGATGGTAATTAAGATTTATTCTAATTCATTGTATTTCATATTGTATGTATATAAAAAAATTATCTTGACTAATATATTTTTATGCAGCGATGGTTCCAAAATGAAGAGGTGTGTCAGTTAATAAAAAAATGTATGTTATTTGCAGCTAAAGGAAAACAGCCTATGAAGATAACATTTGATATAAATACTCACACACCGATTGGGGAAGTATACGAATGTTTCATTCGGGAAGTTGGGAGCTATATGTGGCGCGACATTGCTTTCGATAAGGACACATGGAAAGAAGTTTCTGAAGCCAAAAGGGTTGGCATGTTCCAATATCTTTCGGTGAATTATTTATAAACATATATTTAATATTTTTAATTTTGATTTATTTTTAACTTCTTTATTTTTTGTGGACATGGTTTGATTTTGGAGCAAATTCAAATGATCCCATGGCTTCAATTTATTGGGTGTCACTGAACAATCAGATATGCGCACGGTATAGAGGCCGCAAACATACTGCAAAAACTCGTTTTATTGATTTTGAATGGGATGTGGAGGGAGCAAGGATTCAAGCCCCTATTGGTATGGATCTACAGTTTTAGATTGATGCTATTGACCAATACGTAAGTTATTATTACTTAAAAATGAAGTAGATTGTTGTCTTTTTTTGTGTTGCTTTTAATGTATTTTAACAATCTTTGTGAAATACATAATGCTTTAGTTGTTGAGGTTGCTTTACAGACTCATCACATAGCCGACTCCGGTGGTGATGCAGACTATATCTATCGGATCATAATATTTGAGAAGGAGTTAGGTGCTTGAAGGGGACATGTGAGAGGCATTGGACCTAAACCTCCTTCTGCAGCGGGTACAAGTGCTTGATCCTAATGTCAGTCACAGTCACAAGCATCGCAACCAACACATGTACCTATTAAACTTTTAAAAAATTTGGTAGCTTTGCTATATAAGAACTTGATTCATTTATAGTAATTTTTGGTAGTTTGGTAGTTTGTTAAATTGTTAAAGACTTAATTGATTTGGTGGTTTAATAGTTTGTTAAATTGTTAATGACTTAATTCATTTGGTGGTTTAATAGTTTGTTAAATTGTTAATGACTTAATGTGTTTGTGACTTAATTGTAGAATGTTGATGTGAATGTTTTTTCTTCAAAACCCGACATTTGTGACGACAATTGGAGATATTATTTGCTCATTTAAGAACCAAGTCAACAACGAGGAAAACAAAGATGGGGAAGGCGAAGATATATAGTATTTCTAGTTTTAAGTTATTGATGATGTTATTTTAGATTTATTAGATACTTTATGGATGATATATTTGATGTTTATTTTGGATTAATTAAATACTTTATGTAACATGGTATATTTGATGTTTTATGTAATGTGGTATGTATTGATTTATGTATTTTTATCAAATCTGTATTTTATAATACATATATATATATATATATATATATATATATATATATATATATATATATATATATATATAAACTAACATCATAAATAAATTGTTTTTTTAATAAAAAGCATTAACAGTGACACATTTAGGGACGACATTGACCAATTGCGATGACATGACTCCAGGAAGCCTTGCCGGAAAAACTCTGACCGGTGGTCGGAATATCAATAGAAACGACACCAATAGCGACGACATAGACATTTAACAACGTGTATTAGAGACGATGTTAATTACGACGACAAATGAGTATTAGCTACGAAGTAGTATTGACAACCCTTTAGCGACGACATGAAGCAATTAATTGGGACGTTTTTTGTCGTCGCTAAAGATTACGTTTTTTGTTGTGATCGTCCACATCAGCAATAAAACCGATAAAATGTGTGTTCAAAAGAGAAAATAATTAAATCGTCATTCTTGCCAGTAATTATTGTTTTTTTTTGTAAACAATTTTATTTTAGGGCTTATTTATAAATTAGATTAAAATATTAAACAAATATACGGGGGAAAATAGCCAAATTCGGCATTTTTTTCTAGTAACTCATGATTTTTTATAAAGGGAGAATTTCATATATATACCCTTATTAAACATCGAAATATCATATTTATTAAACCTAAGTTTTAAATATCGTATTTACCCTTCATAAATTTTTAAATATTATATTTGCTCAAATCCTTATTTTTAAATTATTTAAACATTTTATAGTAATTTTAAATCTTTATTTTCATGAATTAGACTATTATACCCCTCTTACAACCCTTTGTAATTATGTTCTTCAATGGCATGGACATAGATATGAAGTTGAAGGTTTAATTTCCTTCCATGAAAATGAAAATAAGTTGTGCATTCTTATAGGGTTTTTAATGGCAAAAAAAAAAAAGTTTACTTTGGTGTCTCTCGTAGCACCATTAGTATATATTGTTACAAAGAATGGTGAAAGGTCACAGGCTGCCAATGATTTGTGAAAATTGTCATGATGATGCTTTTGGGATTTGTATATTGTGCTTTAAAAATTGTAGTTTTATTTGATTTTGTTTAATCCCACTTCAGAAAATGGCATCAGCAATGCTTAAAGATTTTCTAATTGTGTTAAGAAACATTGACGAATATCAATAAAACCCAACATATTTATCTTACAGGATTAATTCTCTAATCTTAATCTCAGTCGACGAGTTTCTATACTGCTAGTGACGAATTCTTTGATAGATGCTGATAAATAAATTACTCAATAAGTATTTGGTATTTACAGTTCATTAAAATAGAAAACTGTTCAAAGCATATTATTGATAATTAACTACTTCATCTATAAAGGGGTGTAATAGTCATTTGTAAAAATAAATAATTAAAATGATTATAAAATTGTTTAAAAAGGCTTAAAATAAAGATTTGGGTAAATATGATAACAAAAAATAAATATGATATTTATAAATTAGGTTGGACAAATATGATATTTTAAAGTTTAAGAAGGATATATATAAAGTTTAAGAAGGATATATACGAAATTCTTCTTTTTATAAATAAATTTTAACTTATTTGTAAATTAAAATAAAATAAGGAGAGATTTCCTTTAAATTCGTACTATAAAATTGCCAGGCTTAAATGCTCTCGTGTTTCTGTCAAAACCCCTTATTTTTGTTTTGTAGTATCTTTTATGCTCGAAGGGACTATTGACATATGATGACGATCTTATTATTCTCTATGCCTACCGGACAATCGGCTTTTATCAAAAGTAACGAAGTCTTCGTCCTCTAATAACACATAACACCATAAGATTCATCGCCTTGAATCCACATAAATCGAACCAGCTTTCTCAATTGTAGAATGATAATCACTTGTATATCTACCAAAAACGATGGCGTTCAACGTCGAGATAACAGCAACCCACATCATTAAACCTTCATCCTCCACTCACGACCACCTGAAAACCCACGATTTATCACTTTTTGACCAGTTATCGCCCTCCGTTTATCCTCCGATAATTTTCTTCTATGACCCAAAGCCAAACTCGAACTTAGCCCCTCGACTCAAGACCTCTTTATCTAGAGTTTTGTCGTCGTTTTATCCGTATGCTGGACGTGTAAACGGAGACGTTTTTGTCGATTGCAATGACGCCGGTATACCATATTCCGAAGCCACTGTTGATTGTTCCCTATCTTATGTGCTTCAACAGTATGATTTGAGCTTGATGAAACAGTTTGTTCCTTTAACTGAGGAATCCGAGAATCCTGATCATACCATTCCGTTGCTGATCCAGGTGAGCTACTTCAAATGTGGTGGAATTGCGATTGGTGCATGTTCCTCGCATAAGATCGGCTATGCATCTAATTTCTTTTCTTTTATTCGCGAATGGGCAAACCTTTCATTGAGCGATAACCAAGTTTTGATTCCCGAGTTCAGTATCTCATCTTTATTCCCACGGATTGGTTTCTTGAACATTACCGGAATCCAGATTCCAATGAACGAAAAGCTCGTTAGAAAGAGGTTTGTGTTCAGTGCTTCAAGCATATCATCACTCAAGGCCCAAACATCATCTTCTTCACGTGTTCAAGCTGTCACAGCCCTCACCTGGAAATGTGCTATGAACGCAGTTAAGAAACCTGAGATTACATCATCAATGGCAATGACGCTTGTGAACATGCGAGGACGCCTCAACCCACCATTGCCGGAGACCTCTTTTGGCAACTTTGTTGGGTCGTTTTTGGCCGAGAAAAGCTTTCATGACGGCAGTGAGATTGAGTTACAGGGCTTGGCTGGTCAACTGAGACATGAGTTTAAAGAATTCTGTGATGTTAACATGAAACAAGCTCAAGATTCCAAAGATGGAATATCGGCAATCTTGGATTACTCTAAAAAGATTAGGGATGTGTTGGGAAGGGATGAAACTGAAGTTTTTACATTTAGTAGTTGGTGTGGATTCCCATTGTATGAGATTGATTTTGGATGGGGAAAGCCAAGGTGGATTAGTGTTACAAATACACCATTCAAGAACGTAATCATGATGATGGATACTAAAGAAGGGAATGGAATTGAAGTATGGGCCAATTTGGAAGAAGAAGTAATGGCCATCTTTCAACAAGACGATGAGCTTTTGGCTTATTGTTCTCCAATCTTGTGTGACGACGGAAGGTAAAATCTATATGTATATGATATAACTTAAAATTTACTTCAGCTAATATAAATTGTCAAGTTTGTCGTAAATTGTAATGCATGATTGACACAGATGACTACATTATCCACTTTTTGTTGACGAAAGCAAAACCATTTTGGGCATTTATTTTAATTAAAATGACAAATTAATAATATTCTTACAACTATTATCACTACAAGAAAAAAAGGTAATTAGCAGCATTGTCGCCGCTAAAGAGTAAAAAACTCGTCGGTAAAGATAATAGCGACGATACGTCACCGATAAAAAGTTATCGCTACTGCTCTGACGCTATTGATCAAAATGTTGCCGGTAAAGACAACTGTTGCCGTTAATACTTCTTGTCGCCGCTAATGCTCTTGTCGCCCGTAACACCTCTTGTCGCCGTAATAACATTTTTCATTTTTTAATCAACAATTTTGGATGCAAAAAAACCGATACATAACGACATTAAATACAGAAAAAATTACATAATAACATCCGATTAGATACCAAATACTTTAATAATTAATTTCATACCAAAATAAAAACAATCAAAGTTTTACAATTCTAACAAGTGACAAAGTGTCACAACAAGTATAACATACAGAACACAAATTAAATATCCGATGAACCATCATCTCTGTTCCCATCGTTTCCTCAATATTGATTTTTCCTTGATTGAAAAAACGCATAAAACTCATCGCTACATATCGGGTTGTTGAGCATTGCCCGAATATTTTCCAACTACATAATAAATAATAGCATATATAAACTTATAAGTTCGATTATCAAACATAAACAAAAACTACCAAAGTACATTACTATTTCTTACACTTAAATACAAGATATACCAAAACTACATTGCTATTTTTTGCACTTCGGACAAAAACTAGTTACCAAATCAACATGCATTTATCGATACTAAAGTACATTGCTATTATTAAACTAAGACAGAAAAACCAAAGTGCATTGCTATTTCTTGCACTTGGGACAAAAACCCAATTACCAAAGCTTGTAGCAAACAATCACCACAAACCAAAATTACCAAATCAACATGCATTTTATGATGTCAAAGTATATTGTTATTTTTAAACTAGAGACAAAAAAACCAAAGTACATTTTTGTTTGTTGCACTTAAAATATAAACACAATTACCAAATCAACATGCATTTATTGCTCATTATAAAGATACATGAAACTTTGAAATTAAATGATTTA